ATTTGTAGAACCTTTCTTTTATCAACGTCAAAACCATGAATATCTGTTGCCAAGGCGTTCTCAAGTGTACATCATCTAGCTTGATTCAGGAACTGCGCGATTTTCAATCGCACTTTGTTGACTTGCTCCCATGCTATCATCTTACATTTGCCAAACTAAGATAGCACTAAGATTTCAGCAAGACTCGTAAAAACAAGAAAAGTGATATTCTAAGCTAAGTCTTTTCTTTAGTTCCCCGAAGACCGATCAACTATCGGGACCGAAAACATCAATCTCTTTTAAAACAAAATTTATGGCTTGTTCTGGCATCCTTATTATGACAAGACAAAATATCGTTTTTGCTGCGGTAACAGGGCTATATCTGCAATAACCCCCTAGCAGTGAGTCTAAAACAAGCAACATAAATGCACAACGGGCTATGGTAAACAATTACCGGTAAAAAGTAGAAGCTATCGTGGCTCAGGCAACTTGGCCACATTTCCCGGGCTCTGCCGTTTCTTTATTATGCTTTAAGGGACGTAATTTCACTCGACGTTCGTTTTCACTTGTTTTATGAGTTTCCGGTTCTCCCCAAGAGCCGAAATATTTTATAAATAAATAGCCCCGAATAACATCATAAATGTGAATTTCTTAACGATGGATATAGCTACCCGTAAATCAGAATGTGATTACAATTCTTTTGCAAGCATACGCGACCAGTTTTTATATGGACTGATAATTGATCTTCATAAGATGAAGTCAGATGAAGACTTTGTCTTCGCTCCTATTCGTGATTCAGTGATAGCGTCCACCTCCAAACACCATGACGGCATGCCAACCGCACCGAGTTGGGTGGATGATACGCATTCGACTAGACAATTTCTTTTTCCCTCAGCAATGGAAGATTTAGCCGCGCGGTCTACCTCTACAGTATGACTCAGTTTTGACTTTAACCCTTCTCTTCATAGTTCTGCCCCTTAAATTTGACCTTTTTATGCATTAACTTAGGCTCTTAATACTTTCCCAAAGGGCTTAGAACTATATTGAGCTGATAGAAAGCACAAATTTGCATTGTCTATCCCTGTATCTTGCTTCTGTAC